GGCGGCGAGGGGGGCGGGCGGGCGGGCGGGCGAAGGAGGCGAGGGGGCGGGCGAGGGGGCGAGGGGGGCGAGGAGGGGGCGAGCGGGCGGGCGGGCGAGCGGGCGGGCGGGAAGCCCAGAGGGCTCTGGCAGCGAGGGGGGCGGGCGGGCGGGCAGGGGAAGCGAGGAGAGAGTCCAGACTTCAGGCCCAGGGCCCCCTCGCGCTGTGAAGAGCATCTCGGCCGGAGGTGTTCCGCTCCCTTCGGCCTCCAGGGGCCCTTGCCAGGCCTCGGGACCGTCAAAAACGACTCAGGATGAAAAACCGGTCCCTGGGAAGGGGTCCAGACCTCTGTGGGAGGCAATAATTCAGAAGAAGAAAAAACTGCATAAGCATGAACCTTTGGCGCTCCGTGCGGATGCACTGGACTCCCCTCCCTGGCGCGCGCTCTGCGCGCCAGGGGCGGCGCTGGAGGCGCCGCAGGGGGGCCCAGCGTAGATCCAAGACATCCGCGCGGAGCGCCAAAGGTTTATGTTTATGTCCTCTTTCCTTCGTTGAGATATTCCAGAGGAGGAGACAAGATACCCACACCGTCACCCTTGCCTCGTTTGCTCCTGCCTGGGCCTCCTGGGAGGCCCTCGTCGCCACCGCTGGATTCGCCTCGAGGCTCTGATCCGCGCGCACCCCGGGAGGAGGCCCGGGGAGCAGCGGTATCGGTGCCTATCGTGGTTTCCCCAAAATTGGATCCCCCCACTGCCGGAACTTGCAGCGTGTCCCGCTCGCGGGCGTGTTCCTGCCCGTTCACAGCGCGAGTGCTGCAGGCCTGTGCTCAGCTCCTTGGCAGCGCTTCCTGGGCTCGCGCGCAGCTCCCATGTAGAGGTGTCCTAGATGGGGTCCAATCAGATGGGGTCGAAGGATCGCGCCGCATCGCCAAGCGTCGGCGATGCATCGGCGACGTCGGCGTGGGGAAACACGGCCTCCACATCGAGCCGCACCGTCGATGCATCGGCGAGGCGGCGCGATCCTCCGACCCTATCTACTCGGACCCCCTTCTGGGAGGCCTGGCGATCTCGGGTTCGCGCGCAACTCCCATTCTTCGGGGACCTTCAGACCCGGGTCGCTCCAGGCCCGGGTCGGCCAGGCCTTGCAGAATCCTGCAAAATCCTGCAAGATCCTGAACCCAAACCGGGTCAACGCGAAGGATCCTGCAACATCCTGCAGGATCCCGCACCCAAGCCCGGGGCACTGCGCCCCTGGCCCTGCAGGATCCTGCAAGATCGAGGCGCTCTGGCGGACCCCGCTTGCGTGGACCACCGTCTCAAGGCTCCCGAAGTCCAAGCACCCCAGGCTTCCGAGCTCTCCTGGGCACCCTCTCAAGCTTCCTGGGCACCCCCTCTCCCCGAAACGTGTTCTGGCCATCGCTCGGACGTCCAGTCCCGGTGTTTTGTTCGGTTTCGTGCGTGGCTTTTTCGCCAAATGATCAAGGATGCTCCGCGATGGTCCTCGCCGAAGGAAAAATGCACACGTCCGGAGCGATGCCCAGTCTTCTGCCGGGGGAAAACCAGGGGGGGCCGGCCGGGCCCGCGAGAGCGCGCCCCGGCATGCCTGCGAGCGCCGCGCCGTGCCATGGGGTGGGGGGAACGGCTCCGGGAGCCGGTCCCCCCCCACGGGCACGGCGCGGTGCCGGGCTCCCCCACGGCGGGAAGGGGGAGGAGGAGGAGGCGGAGGAGGCGGAGGGGGAGGAAGCGGAGGAGGCGGAGGAGGCGCAGGAGGAGGAGGCGGAGAGGCGGAGAGAGGCGGAGGAGGAGGAGGGAGGAGGAGGAGGAGGAGATGAGGAGGAGGAGAGGAGGAGGAGGAGGAGGAGGAGGAGGGGGAGCCCGCCGCGCGCGCGCTCGGCACTGTTGCCGGGCAGGGGCGGGAAAGAGGCTGGGAGGAGAATCCTGGAGGCCTCGCGCGGCCACCCGAGACCCAGGTGACGTCGGATCGGCGTCGGACCCATCCGTCGGATGCACGTCGAGATGACGTCGAGATGACGTCGGACTCACGTCGGAACGTCGCCGCGCAGGCGTCGACCGTCGCCCCATGTGTGGTGGGGTGGACGCGTGGACTAGAGACGATACAACTGTTGCACGCCGCACGAGGCCCTCAGGATTTTCCTCACAGAAAAAGGGATCGGGGTTCAAGTATCGAGGGATCGAGTCCCCAGACATCAGACCTCTGCTGAAAAAGCAGGACGGCGGTTTTCTACTATTTCGGCCTCCAGGGGCCCTCGCTGGGCCCTGGGACCGTGACAACAACGACTCCAGACGAGAAGCCGCCTCCTCGATCCTCGATCTTCCTCCTCGATCCTCGATCCTCGATCTTCCTCCTCGATCCTCAATCCTCGATCCTCGATCTTCCTCCTCGATCCTCCTCGATCCTCGACCCTCGATCTTCCTCCTCGATCCTCGATCCTCGATTCTCGAGCCTCGAGCCTGGAGCCCCATATCGGATATCCAGGGCCCGAGGCTCCAGGGCCGAGGAGCCGAGCCCGGGGAGCCTCGTTCGCCTGCCGTGGCCTCCCGGGGGGCCCCTCGCGGGGCCACCGCGCGGCCTGCCCCGCGGCTCTGAGGCGGGAGGGCCCCCCCCCCCCCGACCGTGGGGAGGCCCAGAAGGGCCGACGCACGGCACCCCGGGCCCCAGACGCCCAGCGGCTCGACCAGCTCGAGAGGGCCGTGCTTGTCTCAGCCTGTCCTCCCTCCTCTGCCGAAGCCCTGCTCTGTGCACCACCCTCAGAGTCTCGATCTGTCCTCCCTCCTGTTCCCAAGCCCTGCTCTGTCCACCACTCGTTTCGTATCCGCCACCGTGCCGCGAGGCACGGAGTGACGTGTCGCTGCCTGCAAAGAGGTAGGCGTCCTGGTGGCCTTGTCCCTTATCACAGAGACTGAAGTGTCACAGACCCATGAAAGTCGCGGCCAAAGAGCCGCACGACCAAGAGTTCAGAAGCCGTAGAGGTTCGAAGGCAGGATGATCGCGTCCGTAGAACCGCGCGGCGTGCCGGTACGAACCGGGCGCCGCTCTGGGAGTACGGATATTGAAATTGAACCATCCAAAAGCTTCTGAAGGGGCCTGTACTCACAGACTTCTGGGAATTCTCGGGCGCTGCTGAATGCTCTTCACTAGGGCTTGTCGCTGGCTTGCTTCTGGAAGCCTCCCGAGCGTAGTTTGGTGTCCGCGTGACCGGCGTGTCCTCAGATTGTCCCTGTGGCTCTCTTGGAAGACTCTTGTGCTATATTGGACCCCTTGGGGGAGAGCCTGAGAAGACGCATCCATTGAACTCTATTTTTCGCAGATTCACCCTGTCGGTCTCACGAGCGTCCATGACGGCCCAGGAGGCCCCCCCAGATCCGCCCAAGAGGGCCCCTGAGAAGGGCCCAAGGCACCCAAAAGAGGCCCCCAAGCAGTGGATTTCGAACTTATGCTTGGATCCCTCCGCCCCCAGATGGCCCTCGAGACCGCCCGTCCTGATCATCATCTGTTCCATCCTATATGATCCAGAGAGCCCCCTCTTCTCGGGCTGGCGGGCGGTAATGAGGGGTGACTTCGACGGTGGGTGAAGAAATGGGCTCGAAAGGGGCCCTTCAAGGCCCTACTCTTCACCCCCCATGTAGGTCACCCCCCATCACCACCGGCCCGATCTTCCCTCTCTTCCGCCCGCTCTGCTCCTCGTTCTCGTCTTGCTGCCCCTCGCCTTCCGCCATTCTCCTCCCGCTCCGCCGCCCGCTGCCCCTCGGGACGCGCGCGGGAGGAGGGAGGGAGCGAAGAGAGACTGCAGGAGCTGAAGGATCGAGACCCTCGCCTGCGCAACCCCTAGGGCCGAGAGGGCTGCGACGAGCTGCACACTCCCCTCTGGACGACGCTCCCCATCAACACCTGCCCAGCCTTCCCAAACTGGCATGCGCGAGGAGATGAAGCACCGCGTTGTCTTAGCCTATCACAGCCTCCAGTAGCACCCACGCCCGCAGACGGGCTCGGCGGAAGCGGCCGCGGGACAAGCCACCTGCATGCTGCACCCACCCGCACGGGCGCAACTGGCGGCCACGTAGGCCTCGACAATGCTGGCGTCCACCACCCGAGCCGCGTTGCACTGCGGGTGCGCCACAGCCAAGCTCGCAAGGGTCGCGGATCGCAGCAGCATCCCGATAACACAAGCAAACATGACGATACCAGGAGGTGGATGACCCAGAGAGAACGAGCCAGATATCCCCAGACCACTCGACACTCCATATTTGACGTAGTGGTGTTTCTGCCCATCCTTCTTTGAAGGCGTCCAAAGACGCAAGGCCTCATCTCTGGTGCACCACGAATCCGATGCGAGGATGCGAAGTTACTCGTGCACTCGCGCACGACCCAATAACTGGTCAAGCACATGACATATGGCCGAAGGCGAGCGGTTGAATAGCAAGCAAGCGCTTGGTCTCCCAAATATGGCGTTGGGGAGTTCATGTGATTGAAGCCGCTACGTCAAACGCTAACGGATCACCCGCTTGGTATCGATTGGCTACTGATCGCGGCATGTGGCTCGTGCTGACACTTCACTTCGGACCCCACTCCTCTTGTCGACCCTTCTGGGCGCGGGTGGAAGCGAACCCAGCGATAAGGCAAGAGGCACGGCTCCCAAAGCAACCTCGAACGGCAACAAGACGCTCGACGGAACTGGGCACCTCCAGGACGCGAGCGCAAGCGGTCAACCCTCGGCACGAGCAGCAACATTCCCAGATAGCTCTCTGAGAGCTAAGAAGGTTTCCAGATTCAAAGGCCGGCAAACCGGGGCAGCTCCAGAGCTCGTTCCCGCGTCTGGCAGGGAGCGCCGCTTCCTGTGAGATTGCAGCGTGCCTCGGAGGGCCTCCTCCAGCTGGTTGCCCTGCCCTGAAGCTCTCCAGCATCTCCTTCCCACAGCTTTCGGAGCTCCTTCGACAGACCTCCCGGAAGCTTCCGCCGCCTCGCTCTCTGGGCTTTGGAAACCGCAAGTCCTCCTCGTGCGCCGCGACTCCCAGCGCTGCTGGCGCAGCCATCCCAGCGTGGATGCCCCCCAGCGTCGGCGCGCACCCGATGCGCGTCGACGCTGGGGGAGCAGCCTCGAGCCGACCTGCCGCCGTGGGCCTCCATGGCCAGAGGCAGGCTGTTTTTAATGATTGTGTTTATAATGTTTTTTAGTGGAGCGGGGACGGGGTCAGAGAGCAGATTCCATCCCTGGGTTCCGCAGGATGCTGACGAGAAAAAGAAGTCGTTTGCACAAAGGGCAGCGTCTTCGCTGCAATGCAGCAACATCTGGACCGAGATGGCGAAAGCTGAGGGAAGGAAACGGAAGCATAGGGAGCACGCACAATAACTGAGCATGTTCTGTGGGTGCAGGGCTCGGGGTGAAATCAAAATGAGCGCTTGCGCCTCGAAAACCTATTTTCGTACGTGTTTGGTATAGTAACTTGTTGGACGAACCGCTTGGGGTGCATCGGCATGCGTGCACGAAGCGTTGGGCTTCAACGACTACACCACTGCGGCGCTTCCTCATGGGGATAATTGATGAAATCTTCCCGTGGCCTTCTGAACCCCTCCCATGAACGACCGCGCGGGGTCCTCCGAGCACCCGGCTGGCGCCCGACGGGTGAAGGAGCACTCGAAAGGAACCTGACAGGTGAATCCAGAATTCTAGAATCGATTTTCGGACTCTAGAATTGATTTGTTCGTTCTAGAACAATGCTGGCGTTGTAAAGCTATCATGCGTGTGCATTCGAATGTGGTTCTGCGTTGTAGAATGACCATTGTGTTTCTAGGACGCACGTGGTGACTCTAGAAATTTGTTCTGAGTTCCAGGATTCGGTCGACCGTTCCAGAATTTCTTCTGGCAAGAAAAAACCTGCACATGATGCCCGGGGTCGAACTTCCAGAGCCTGTCTGAGTGAGTATCACGGGAGGCGGGCTTGACTGGAGACTGGAATGGCCCTTCCTTCGATCGGTCGCTGCGTCCGCTCGGCGCGAGCTTGCGTCGGCGCAGAATGTGTCGCCTACCCCCGCTGCCGCAACTTGCCCGCAACGGTCTGGGAGGAACCTGATGGGTGGCGATGGTTCGAAACCATTTCTAGATTCTCGGCGATAGCGGGCGTTATAGGGAGGGCGGGGGGGAGCACGACGTAACGCCCCCCCCCCCGCCGTGTTGGTCTGGCACTACAGACTGCGGGGCCGGACGCACTGCGGCAGTGCTGTGGACGCACTGGAGGGGGGGTGGAAGCGTTACGTCAAGGTGGAAGGAGGGTGGGGGAGAGGGGGGGGGCAACGCGCGTCATGGCCCAAAGGGTGAGAACAACATGTCCCAAACCAGGGGTATGGCACACACGCGCACACAAGACGGCGCGCAGCCGCGCCCAGACCTCCGAGCATCCTGCCGCGGGCATCCAGCGCCTCCTCCGCGCGGCTCAGGCGCTGATCGACGCGCTCGCCTGCCCCGCACCAGGCGCGCGGTTGCCGCCCCGAAGTTTCGCGGCTCGCAGCGCCCGAGATTGTGACCCTGGGCTCGATTTTTACTCCTCCATGGACTCTATAGACGTCCACGTCTCCGCTGCGCACGCCGTGCTCCGGCACACACGTTCGATAACTTCATGCTTGTGCGTGCTCCTCTCCCTTTCCGCGCGCTCCATCTCCCCCTTCGCCTGCTGTGCCAGAACCCCTCGGCTGCCTCCGAAGGCGGTGCGGATCCTCGCCGCTGCGACTAACAAGTTTCGCGGTTCGCCGGGCTGCAGCACGGCGCGGGCCCCACAACCCACACAGGCTCCCGAGGGGGAAACGAGAGGGTAAGGTCCAGGAGGGGGGGGGGCTGCGGGATGGCCTTGGGCCGAAATGGCTACGAAGTACCTAGGGCGGGAGAGAGGGAGGGAGGGAGGGAAGGAGGAGGAAGAGGAGAAGAAGCAAGAAGAGGTGGAGGAGGAGGAGGTGGAGGAGGAAGAGGAGAAGGAGGAGCTCCCCCTCCCAGGGCCTGGTCCACAACGCACCGCTTCCGCATCCAGCACTGAAGGGGCTCGGACTGTAAAGTGACGCAGTCGCAATTCGGGTCCTGGCGGGGGTCGGGAGGAAAGCGCAGGAGGAATCTGGAGCAGGGACTGGGAGGGAGAAGCTGAGGGCGGTGGGGTGGTGGCGAGCAGCCCTGAACGGTGCAGCGAGGAGAGGAGGAGGATCAGGAGGAGGACCAGTGTAAACCCAAGACTCACCAACGATGTTGAAATACACCCTCCCTCCGAAATCCCTCTTCGTAGACCCCTGCAAAGGGTCATTTCTACAGAGGGAATTGCCCCGTTGGGGGACGAACGTCTGAACATCGTGACGCGCGCGAAAAGAACATTATCAGGACTTCAACGCCACGAAATAACCAGACTGTTACGTTTTAGCGATGGTTAGTCGTGCCAGAGCACCATTCCTGGGACTTCAACACCGCGAATCAACATGACTGCTACGCCCTGGCACTCCTGAGTCGTTCCAAGAAACCATTTTCTAATACGTGAACCATGAGAACCACTGAAACTGTTGCAAAGACGAAACCGATCCGAATGCATGCGGCGCTAAAACGAGAACCGCATTTTGAAAAGGAACCACCCTCAGTCCGTGAAACTCCTGTACCTTTGTAGAACATTTGTGCGCGGCGCTAAGGCGAGGACCACCTGTTGAAAACGGCCCGACCCCAGTCCGTGAAACTCTTGCACATGTTTAAATCGATGGTGCGTGGCAATAATGCGAGAAACGCATGTTCAAAAGAAGCCGTCCTCAATCCGTGAAGCTCTAGCAGACTGTTTTAAACGAATGTGCGCGGCGCTACGGCGAGAACCACATGTTGAAAACCACCTACCCTCAAATCAGTGAAACGTAATCGTGGCCGAATGCGCTTTGCTACGCAAGTTGCGGGTGGGAGGGTGGGCCTTCTCCCCCTCCCCCCTCCCGATCCACCCCTCCCTATCCCCCCTCCGGGGCCGGCCCCGCCCGTCCTCCCCCGTCTCCCCCTCCTCCCTCTCGATCCACCCCCCCGCTCCCCCTCTCGATCCCCCTCCCCCCTCTCGATCCACTCCTCCCTCGCCTCCTCCCCCTCCTCTTCCCCCTTCCCCTCTATCCGCCTTCTCCCCCTCCCCCCTTACGATCCCCCCCCCCTGCTCCCCCCTACACGCCCCACCCCCCCCGTCCCCCGTCCCCCATCCTCCGCGAGAGGGGTTGCCCCATCATCCTCCGTGCACCGCTGCATGCACTCGTCGGCCGACTCGACGTCGACCTCCAGGCGGCCCTCCATCGACGTTGTCGTCGTCGTCGTCGTCGTCGTCGTCGTCGTCGTCGTCATTCGCCATGCTAGTGACAGTCATCCTTAGTCCCTGCTCATCCGTCTCGCCCTCTTCCCGTTTCCCCCTTGATGTCCCCCTCCTCCTCATCCTCCTCCACCTCCTCCAACGTCCCCTCCTCTTCCTCCATTCCCATTCTCTCGGCTGGTGATGAAAAAGGGAGGCGCTGCAAGCTGGGCCGACCCCATCGTCGTCGATGTTCTCCGCGCCGAAAGGGGCGTACGCGTTCCTGGCACTTCCACCGAGCTCGCCCACTGCCTCCTCACATGTTTCCTCAACATCACCATCGCCATCAACATCGAGATCGTGATCACCAGCATCGACATCATCATCATCATCATCATCATCATCATCATCATCATCATCATCATCATCAACAACATCATCATAATCAACATATTCATCATCATTATCAACACCATCATCATCATCATCATCATCATCATCATCATCACCATCATCATCATCATCATCGTCGGCATCATCATCACCATCTTCGTCGTCATCATCACCATCACCACCATCATCATCAGATTCGTCATCGTCATCATCATCAGTACGTATCTCAGCATCAGCATCAGCATCAGCAGGATGATCATGATCATGACCGTCTTGCTGATTATCTTCCCTCCCCATGGCAAGTAATCATGCTGTTCCTCCTGATGCTGATCATTGTTCTCCTGCATCCTTCTGCATGTTCCTTCTCGCCCTGGTCCTCCCTCCTCCTCCTCCTCCTCCTCCTCCTCCTCATCCTCTTACGCCTCCGCCTCCCCATTTTTCCTCTTACCCTGCCTTATGCACTATCCTGCTAAGTATCCCGTCTCTTACTCTCTCCCTTCTCCTTTCATCGCCCAATCCCCTCCCTGATTATCCTCCCGCTGCCTGTCCTCCCTCGCCTCATCCACTTTCGCGGGCACCCAATGAGGGGGAAGAAGGAAGGACGCCCGGGGGGGCACCTGGTGGAGAATGAGGGGGAAAGGAGGGAAGACGAGGGGGAAGAGTAAGGAAATCTAGCAGGACGGGGAGGGTGGGAGGGTGGGAGGGCGGGGGGTAAGGCGCATGAGGAAGTCAGATGATTTGCTTCGCGCTGGCGGCGAGGAAGCGTTTGGTGCAGCCCGCCTTGGAGCTCTGGTGAAAGCCAAGCCCTGCACCCACTCCACTGATGCCCACTTGTGCCATGTCGAGTCCTGCTCCCCTCCGCAATTCGCAGTGCGGACTCGAGATGCAGTCGATACGTCGACACCGAACCAATGGATACCTCTCGTAGATTATCACGCTGGTCTACTGGAAGCCTGCAAGAGAAGGCCCGCGCCCCTTTCCGCCATCATCACGGCGTCAAGCAGCTGACGTGAGCCACTGTCTGTCCAACCAGATGTACAATGTTCCTACACCTCCGTTGGGCGATGCTCCACGCCCCCTCCAACCCACAGAAGCATACTCCGCTGCCTTGGAGCGTTCAATACTTTCGTTCACATTTTCTTTCCCATCGTGGGATGCATGGGCTGGCTCCCGTAAGGCACTCGCCAGGCGGCAGCAGTGGTTTCCATGTCTCCAGGTGCTGCACCAGCCCGAGAACGTGCAGGGATGTGGTCATTTTAATGAGCCGCAGAGATGGTGTCGCGACCATGGCACAGCTCATCCACAACCGTAAGCCCCTGCATTAGCGTCGTTCCTGTCTCACGCGATGCCTCTTGCACACTAGTCACGCTGCAGTGACTAGTCATCGAAGCCGCAAGCTTCTGATCCCTGTCGAGAATGTAAGTGTCCAAGAAGGCCGGCAGTGCCTTTGGCCAGGGCCAAAGGATACCATTGCCATGGTCAATGGCCCATTGTGCCGTCGAGGAGCACGTCGCCACTGCTCGCCGTCATGGTTGGTCTTTTGGTGGGCCGTGTCGCTGCGCGCTTTGTTTACCACGTCGGACCTGGTATTGTAGCACTGCTGGATGCAGATGGGGCGTTCCAAAAAAGGCCTTGCCTTCGAGGATGGAAGGAGTTACCATCTCTTTTTCGGCGGAAGGCGGCGCACTCGCGGCAGAAGGCGGCGGAAGTAAAACGATGCTGCCGCCTCCGCTGGCGGAAGCTCGGCGGACGCCGGCGGAAGCAACAATTGGCACCCCAAGAGATGAGAACGCTTTTGGGTTCAGGGTGTCCGAAATCGGCCGGATGAACGTACTGTCACTGCAGTGACACACCGACGGGCTCCGTTTCACTTGGGGTCGCAAGTGTTCGCGGGTACGGTCGAGTCCACGTGCGCCTCGCCCTCTCCGTCGTGGGCCGAACCCACGTTCTGGTAATTAGTGCTCTTCCTCCACGCCCTCGCTGCAAGCATCCTCCGCGGTCTTGTGCTTAAGTCGGCCCCGAAAACGGCAGAGCTGTTTTCGAAAATGCGTCTTGAAATGAAGCCGGTAACAAAAACGGCGACCAGAAACGGCAAACACCAGAACCCTAACAGACAAACTGCGACAAAACGGGCAAGATAACGGCGACGGAACCCCCAACAAAAAACGGCAAAACGGAACCGGTGAAAACACGGGCCTGTCGTTTCCAGGGCCCTCGAAGGTCGTGTGCACGCTCCGCTTCCATGGTCTGCAACGTCGTGTCGTTCCTGCAACATGGGCAAGCTTGGAGCATCGCACCCCGTCCGGCAGGCCTCCGACGCCTGCGGCGGGGACGACCTCGGACAACGAGGAAGGTGAGCCCCACGCAGGCCGCCATGCCGCCGCCGCTAATGCATGGCGGTCGTCGTGATCGGCATCCTCGACGCCTCGGGGCCCGCTGGCCGCCTCACACAGCCGCACGGCCCTCGTCCGCGGCGACGTCTGCAGCTGCTGGCCAGCGGCCACTGCACCTTCCCAGCGGATGGTGCCGAACGTCTGCGTGTGTGGCTCGCCCTGTGGGTGAACACCCTCCGCTGGGCTGGGCCCGCCACGCGAGCCCGTCTCCAGCCTCCGCAGCTTGCCCGACGCCGCGGCGTTGCTGCGCGAGTGGCCGCGACGCCAAAATGCGTGTGTGTGTGTGTGATTGTGTGCGTGTGTGTGTGTGTGTGTGTGTGTGTGTGTGTGTGTGTGTGTGTGTGTTTGTGTGTTTGTGTTTGTGTTTGTGTCTGTGCTTGTGTGTGTGTGTTTGTGTCTGTGCGAGTGTACGTATGCGTGTGTGTGTGTGCGTATGCGTGTGTGCGTGTGTGTGTGTGTATGTGTGTGGCTCGGTTTGCTCCTTCCCCTCTGGCGCTGCCCGCCCCCAGCACGGGAGAGCAGAGCCTTTCCCCGAGCGCACACGTCAGAAACACGTATTAGAGTATCAGAACGAGAACAACAACGGAATAAACATAAACTTTTGGCGCTCCGCGCCAGGGGCGGCGCGGAGGCGCCGCCGGGGGGCCTTGCGCGGATCCAAGAAATCCGCGCGGCGCGCCAAACATCATGTTTGTGACATTTTCCTTTCTTCGACGCGTGCACTTCGTGCCAGCGCGCGCCGCGCCTGCACTCAATCCGGCTCGTCTTGCCCTGCGCCCTGGAGAAGTAGAACGGTTTCCGGTTGATCAGCGATTCGCCAGGCTCGGCTCGGTGTGCGATGGCAGTCTGCGGCAGTCTGCCTCCGCTCTGGAAATGGAGCACAAACGGTTCGCGCCTGCGTGCTCGCCCGCCGCGCCGCTCCCACGTCCGCTTTCCCGCACCGCTCACTCGATGCGTGGAGGAGGAGGGGATGAGCAGGCAGAGTCTGCAGGACACTCCTTAGTATGAGCATCTGGGGTACAGAACCCCTGCCAAACCCCGACATGCCTTGACGACGAAGGGTGCACGCACGACCCTGGAGGAAAGCATACGTGTAAAGATCGTATCACTGAAATTCACGGATCACTCAAGAATGCGAGAGTCGGAGGTGCACAATGCCTCAGCGCTCGAGAGTCTGAGAATTGAGATCCCTTGGGCACTCGGGCATTCTGGGTGGGTGTGGGTCGGGGGCCTGGTATTGCGCGCCTCCCACGCAGGAGAGGTTGTTGTCGTGTCTGGGAGTCGGGAATACCCATCGAGAGACTCAATGGCTTCACGTACGCGTTTACACGGCTTGGTCTTTCACAGCAGGGAGCAACCTTTGTATGACAACATCGACTGGTAGCCTGATTGAGTTCAAAAGTCGACCGATAAGGGACATCCAACCCAGAGCGAAGCATTATTGATGGAGCCCAAAGCGCAGCCTTGACGACTGTTCAAGCGCCGCGGCCCTCCCCCCCCCACGCAGGTTCCAACGCACGCCAACCGACAGTGTAAAACTAATCGAACTCATCACTGCGACCCGAGCAGCATAGATGAAGAGATAAAGCCTGCCATGCGGGAAAATTGTTAAATACACATGGCCACACGACATAATGACGTACACATGTTGCGCGACTCGGTGGCGACGGACAAATGAACATACTGTCGGCCCGAGCGACATGTCGGCACCTGTAGGCGTACTCCAAATATTTCACGTCGAGCTCTACCTTCGCAGCGCCGTCTGCCCCAGGCGAGAACGAGGAGACTAGATCAAGGGCGCATGTGGCACTGCTGATGGAGAGAAAAAGCAGCTAGACGAGACAATGTTGAGAATGCTAACCAACGACGTCTGGCTCCCGGATGGAGTCAGAAGAACCAGAGAGATTTTGCAACTGCTCCAACTCCAACCGCCATTGGGCCATTGAACACACCCCTCATCGCCTCTCTTCCGATTCCTCCTCCTCCCCCTTCCTCCTCCTTCTCGTCCTCCTTCTCATACTTCTCATCCTTCCCTGTCCTCGTCCCCCCATCGTTGCGAAATTGCATGCATCTGGTGCGGCGCCCCCATCAAGGCGACCCAACTGGGGCTGGCATGCTCTCTGGTCGGACCACCGGTCTCATGTGAAGGTACACACAAATAAAAGGATTCCCCATCATTTCCTGTGTGTTCTGGGGTTTTGTCTTCCCGCCCAATTCCCATATTTTCCCATATTTTCCAATATTTTCTTGGGAATCGACGAAGAATTGTGTCTGTGTGTTTTTGTCCCCTCCTGATCATGGCACTCCTCGATGCTCGTTTGAAGCTCTGTTCGACCTCCGGCTCATGGCACAAGTGTCTGGCCACACCCGGCCTCCCCAAGCAGCCGACCGCGAGCAAACCGAACAGGACCCGTCCGCGTGCCCTCTCCTTTTCCTTTCCTTTGCGCGCTCGAGGCGCTCACGGCATCTATTGCCGCGACGACCCCCTCCGTCGAGCCCCGCAGGCAGGGGACCGAAAGACCTCTCCTCCCCATCCTCCGCCCAGATCCAGCACTTGCTTGCTTTGAAACGGAATGCGCTCCTTCAAGCATTCGTCGTCGTCTTTCTGCGTGCTCCTCGCTCTCCTTCCCTTGCTGGACCGGATCCTCCTCGTCATCCACGTCGACCTCCTTCCCCTCCTCCTCTTCCCACTCCTCGACCTTCTCGTGCCTGTCCCGTGTCCTGCTGGTGCTGGCCCTGGTCGACCCTTCATATCCTCCTCCTCCTCCTCCTCCTCCTCCTCCTCCTCCTCCTCCTCCTCCTCCTCCTTCCTCGTCCTCCTCCTCCTCCTCCTCCTCCTCCTTCCTCCTCCTCCTCCTTCTCGTCCTCCTCCCGATCACAGTCGACTCCAGAACCTCTTCTGGAGCGCGGTCTGACCAGGATTTCACAGCGGAAACGGTAGTGGCGACGAGAGGTCACCGGAAGGTCAAGACCCCCAACTGGGAGGACCCCCAACCGGGAGGAGGGGCCAACCTTCTCAATGAACCAGGACGCTGTGCAGCTGCTCTTCCTCTTCCCCACGAGCTTGGCCACAGAGCTCTTGGCCCCGGCTTCTCGTCGCGGGTCGTGCCTGGTGGGCCCAGGCCAGGAAATGATGAAAGACCGGACGTGATGACCTTCCCCGCGACGCCCGAAATCTGGGTCGGCCACTCGACCCTTGGCCGCGCGCGCAGGGGGGCTGGGGGGGAGGGGGGACGGCCTCTCAGAAGGAGGCTGCTCCCTCCACGGCGCTGGCCCTGCATCTATAGACGATGCCCGCGCCCTCTGAGAAGCAGGGGCGCTTCTCAGAAGCCTTCCCCCCTCCCCCTGCCCACCCCGTCTTCCCTCTCTCCCTCCTCCTCCTCCTCCTGCTCCTCCTCCTCCTCCTCCTTCTCCTCCTCAACCTCCTCCTCACTCCTGCTTCTTCTCCTCCTCCTCCTCCTCCTCCTCCTCCTCCTCCTCGTACCTCCTCCTCCTCCCTCCTCCTCCTCCTCCTCCTCCTCCTTCCTCTCCTCCTCCTCCTCCTCCTGCTCTCCGCTCCTCCTCCTCCTCCTCCTCCTCCTCCTCCTCCCTCCTCGTACTCCTCCTCCTCCTTCTCCTCCTCCTCCTCCTCCTACTCCTCCTTCCTCCTCCTCCCTCCTCCTCCTCCTCCTCCTCCTCCTCCTCCTCTCTCCCTCCTCTGCGCTACCCACTTTCGCTTCGGATCCGTCTCCTCCTCCTCCTCTCCTCCTCCTCCTACCTCCCCTCCTCTCCTCCTCTCATCCCTCCTCTCCTCCTTTTTCTTCCCTCCTCCTCATTCCTCCTCCTCCTCCTCTCCTCCTCCTCCTCCTCCTCATTCCTCCTTCTGCTCCTCCTCCTCTCCACTCCTCCTCCTCTCCTCCTGCTCCTCCTGCTGCTCCCCCTGCTCCTCTCCTCCTCCTCCTCCTCCTCCTCCTCCCTCCTCCTCCTCCTCTTCCTCCTCCTCCTCCTCCTCCTCCTCCTCCTCCTCCTCCTCTCCTCCTCCTCCCCTCCTCCTCTCTCCTCCTCTTCCTCCTTCTGCTCCTCCTCCTCCTCCTCCTCCTCCTCCTCCTCCTCCTCCTCCTCCTCCTCCTCCTCCTCCTCTGCGCGTGGCGGACCCACTCTCGCTTCGGATCCGTCTCCTCCTCCTCCCCGCGCTCCGAGGCCACGCCTGGGCGTGGCCACGAGAGACAGGGCCCCCGAGGAGGCCCCCCCCCCCCCGCAAGAGCCCGAAGAGCGCCAGCATCTCCTCCTCTTTTCTCGGCCCAGCTGCACGCAGGAGATGGAGGCCTGTCGGGTGTTGCTAGGAGTGCCCCTGGCCCACGGAAATTGCCCCCAAGGAGTCTCGGGGTGGGCCAGACGGCCTCCAGGGCACCCCCCACGAGGCCCAGGGGGCCCGGGGGCTCCAAAGCGGAGCGAAAAGCTGGGAGGCACCTTGGGCCAGGGGCGCTTCTAGCAACACCCGAGCTTGGAAATCAACACCAACACCAAAACAGGGGGTCGCGTCCGCGCGGGGGGGGGGGATGATCGTAGTTTTCGGTGTTGGTGTTGAAACTTCGGCCAACCAGCAAGCCCGAGCATTGCCATCATCACCGAGATCGGGGTCTTCTTCCCTCGGTGAGGGCACACCGCCAACATTGGTGTTGGTGACAACCTCTAGGCCTCCGAGAGACCCCAGGCACGAGCGACCTTTTGTGCGCGGACCAAGTGGGCGCAAGGTGGCCAAATCTGGGCGCGCAAGCCGCTGCCACCGCTTCGCGCTCAGCGATCGGGGGACCCCATTGGGCCCGCGCCGAAGGTCACTCCGGCGAAAGGTCACTCTTACGTGTGCAGCCAACTTGTGTCAGAAGGACGCACGATAAGGATGCAAGGGCCTTAGACGCCCATTTTGAAGCTTTTCGAGCGGGGCGCGGCCAACGAGAGCGGCCGAGGATGGACCGAGGAGGCAAGGATGCGAGGGTACCATTGGGACGGCTGCCCATCCTTACCATGCGGGTTGACTGTTGTCGATTCTTGCGTGGCCCTGCCCTCGGCCCACCTTTCGGATCGCCGCCGCGGCGCCGGTCTTGCCCTCCTGATGGGCGCGGGGGGGGGGCGGAGCGTCGGGCGGCACTCTGCGGGCCCGAGAGGCGCAGCGGCCCCCCGGCCCGGCCGGCGACCGCCAGCTGCCGGCCGCCCCTCTCGGCTGCTCGTCGAATCGTGGTAGTGGTCGTGGTCGTCGAGGTCGTCGTGGTGCTGGTCGTGGCCGTCTTTGGCCATCGTGATCGTCGTGGTCGTGGTGGGCGTCCTGATCGACGCGATCCTGGTCGTGGTCGTCGTGGTTGCCGTGGTCGCGGTCGTCGCCGCCGTGGCCTTCGTCGCCACCGTCGTCGTCGGGGTCTGGAACCGCGCACGGCCAGAATCATGGCGAGTCGTGCGGAAGCCACACGCTGGTTACTTATATGGAGCACCAGCGTACCCGGCCTGGCCACGCGAGGGCCGAGCGCTTGACAAACACGTCGCCACGTGTGCACCCAGCTCCTGCTCAAGCTGGCCACATCAAGTGCATCCAACTTTTTGGTGGGGTGGAATCCTGACCGGCAGCTGGCTTGATCGCGCGATCCACCGCACGCGCACGGAATACATGCGGCAGCATGTGTTCCCAACCATCCTGTGGTGTTGGGTCCTCAATTTGAAGAGGCAGCCCCCCGCGTCTCCTTCCTTCCTCTCCTCCTCTCTTCCTCCCCTCCCTCCTCTCCTTGCCTCTGCCCTTCGCATGTACCTGTTTCGGCATACCCCTCACACGCTTCGTAGCCCCATAGGGAGCTCCACCGAAGCTCCACATGCCAGCGTTCGCATGCGCCCACTGCACCCATTTTGGTTTACCTTTCACACGTTTCGCGGCCCCACAGGAAGCTCCACCGAAGGCCCCAATAGCTGCGTTCGCATGCGCCTACCGTACCCTTTTCTGGCACACCCTCACACGCTTCGCGGCCCTACAGGGAGCTCCACCGAGGGCCCCAGTGGTTGCGTTCGCATACGCCCACCGCACCCATCTTGGCACACCCCTGCCACGCTTCGTGGTCACATAGGGAGCTCCACCGACGGCCAAAGTGGCTGCGTTCGCATGCGCCCGCCGCGACCATTGTTTGGCACACCCCTCACACGTTTCGTGGCCCCATCGCGAGCTCCACCGAGGGCCCCGTTGCTGAGTTCGCATACGCCCACCGCACTAATTTTGACACACCCCTCACACGCTTCGTGGCCCACCGAGGGCCCCAGTGGCTGCGTTCGCATGTGCCCGCCGCACTCAATTTTGACACACCCCTGTGCCCGCCGCACTCATTTTGGCACACCCCTCAAACGTTTCGCGGTCCTACAAGGAATTCCTCCGAAGGTCCACATGCCAGCGTTCGCACGCGCCGACCGCACCCATGTTGGCGCGCCCCTACACGTTTCGCGGCCCCATGAAGAGCTCCACACGTTTCGTGGCCCCATCATGGGCTCCACCGAAGACCCCCTTGGCTGAGTTCGCGTGCGCCCACCCTTTTGGCACACCCCGCATACGTTTCATGGCCTCTTAAAAATGGGCCCCACCGACAGCACCAGTGGCTGCGTTCGCATGCGTCCAGAGCGCCCGTTTTTTTGGCACACACCTCACACGTTTCGCGGCCCACTGGGCAGCTCAAGCGACGGCCCCAATGGTTGCGTTCGCATGCGCCCACCGCACCAATTTTGGCACACCCCTCACTTGTTCCATGGCCCCACAAGGTGCTCGACCGACGGCCCCAGCGGTTACGTTCGCATGCGCCCACCGCGCCCATCTTGGCACACCCCTGCCACGCTTCGTGGTCCCATAGGGAGCTCCACCGAGAGCCCCGGTGGATGCGTTCGCATGCGCCCACCGCGCCCATTTTGGCACACCCCTCGCACGTTTCGTGGCCCCATCGCGAGCTCCACCGAGGGCCCCAGAAGCTGCGTTCGCATGCTCCCACCGCACCCATTTTGACACACCCCTCACACGCCACGTGGCCCCAGAAAGAGCCCCACCGACGGCCCCAGTGGCTGCGTTCGCATGCGCCCACCGCACCTTCTTGGTAACCCTCTCACACGTTTCGTGGCCCCGTAGGGAACTCCACCGACGGCCCCAACGGCTGCGTTCGCATGCTCCCACCGCACACATTTTGGCACGCCCCTGCCACGTTTCGTGGCCCCATAGGGAGCTCCACCGACGGCCCCAACGGCTGCGTTCGCATGCGCCTACCGTACCCATTTTGGCACACCCCTCACATGTTTCGTGGCCCCATCGCGAGCTCCACCGACGGCCCCAGTGGTTGCGTTCGCATTCGCCCACCACACCCATTTTGACACACCCTTCACACCTGTCGTGGCCTTCTAAGGGAACTCCTGCGAATGCGGTGCATACAACGACGGCGCTCACAATTGCGTATGGTTGGGTCTTTCGACAAGCGAATACTACCCAGATCTGAAAAAACTGGTTGGCATCGGTGTCGTGAGCACCAGATAATTGAGCGACGAGAAGGAACAGGTATTTCGCGAGATGACATAGCGACCTTACGCGGCGGTTTACGCGGGCCGCCAAGCGGCACGCCACATTGGAATCAAGGGGCGAAGTACGCGCGGACTTCAGTGGGAAGTTTACGCGCGAATGTCAGCACAGTCGACCCCGTTTTCCTCCGTCGCTCAAGTGCTTCTCAACCCAGACTTCCTGCGCAGCGAAGGGACAAGACGGCTGACGCACTGCAGTCTGGATCCCCAGCTGCCAGTTTCGCGGCACGCACTGATGTTCTCAGACTTGGCATCGGGAGACCAATCTCGGGCCCAGGGGCCCACACAGAACAGCACTCGGCGGTCTGAAGTCAACACGAACAATTCTGCCAGCAATGAGGCCCTCTTCTGCAAAACAGCTCTCAATGCAACGCAATGCGAGCGAATAAACAAAGTTCAGAGGGAAGCAATGCAAAACTTCGACTAACAGCTAGGGCAAAAGTATGGAAACCCAGCACAGCAAATTACGCAACGCTGCGCACTAGGTACGACTCGTCGACTCGCTGAGTCACTGCACAGAATAACAAGTAACTCACAGATTTCAGACTGAAGGCAGCGACGCCGTGAAATGTGGCAATTCGCCTCCTCGCGTGCATCTTGATCTTACCATGCTTCAGCCGGGCTGTAGTCTCACACTTTACTTCCATGCGCCTGCAACTCACTCAGATCTCTGGGGAGGTCATGCTCGACTGCGTCTGATGTTTTTACGGCACGCCCGCTCCAAGCCTGCCAGGGCTGGCGGCGTGACGCGTGGCTCAGGCCACGAGGCGCTGCGGCGAGCGCAAACGCTCGTGCGCGAGCGCTCGTGCGCAAGCGCTCGCGCGCTGGCCGCACGGCGAATTACCCCAGGCCTACCAGGCGCAGTGGCGACGCGGGCCGCCGCATGGGCGGGGCGCGCAGCGCCACCAGCGCCGGGGCCCCTGGCAGGGGCGCCATGACGCGCCCGATCGGCTCATGCACTGGCGTCGGGGCCTCGACCACCGCCACCCTCTGCGGCGCGCCCGCCCCCGGCGCTGCCGCCGCCCGCGCCACGGGCGCCGGAGCGCAGGCCTCGTGCGGCAGGCCGGCCTCGAGCTCGCGCAGCAGGCGCTCAAAGATGTCCACCTGCGCCTGCGCGGCGAGGCCGCGCCGGAGGCCCGCGCGCTGCAGCTCCTCCGCCCGCTGCAGCTGGCGGAGCTGCCTCTCCCGGCGCAGCTCCAGCTCCGCGCGCGCCTCCGCCACCTCCGCCTCGAGCGCCCCCTCGAGGCCGCCCGTCGCTCCGCCGCCGCGCGCCTGCTGCACGTCCGCCAGCTTGCGCTCCAGCTCCGCAGCGTGCTCCTTCTGCCGCGCCCGCTGCCAGTGGTGCATCCCGCGCGTGTCCACGAGCTCCTGCTCCAGCTCGGCCAGCCGCTCCTCGCACTGCAGGAGCCGCGTCCCAGCGCCCGCGCTCTCCTGCGCCCTGTCCTCCAGCTGCGCAGCTCGGGCCTGCTGCGCCTTTTCCTTCAACAGCGCCTGCTCCAGCGTTCGCTCCAGCTCCTCCATGCGGGCATGCTGCGCCGCCTCCTTCGCCACCTGGCGCTCCAGCTTCAGCGCCAGCTCCTCGACGTGGGACTGATGCCCCACGTCTTTCCGGCGTCTCTGCTCGGCTGCGCTCTCCAGCTCACCGAGCCGCGTCTGCTGTGCCAGCTCCAGCTGCCGCAGCTCCTGCACGAGAGCCTGCTGCGACTGGCCGTGGACGCTCTGCTGGGACGCCGCGTCCTCGAGGTGCCAGACGCTCGCCTGCAGCGCGGCCTCCTGCTGGCGAAGACGCTGCAGCTCAAGCTCCATCTCCCCGACGCAGGCCTGGCGCGCGTCGTCGAGCTCCCTCGCGCGGGCCTGCTCGAGCGCCTCCTGCCGCACGTGGCGCTCCAGCTCCTGCTGCAGCCCCTGCAGCTGCGCCTGCTGCGACGTGCCGCGGAGGCTCTGCTCGGCGGTGGCGCTCTCGAGGCAGAGGGCCTGCGCGCGGGCCGCGGACTCCTGCCGGCGCAGCCGCTCGAGCTCCAGCTCGAGCTCGCCGATGCGGATCTGGTGCGTCTGGTCCTGCTGGCCGTGGCGAGACAGCGCGTCCTCCAGCTCCGCCAGGCGCCCCTGCTGCAGAGCACACTGCTCGCTTCTGCGCTCGAGCTCGCCCTCCAGATCGCTGGCCCGAGTCTGCTGCGACACCTCCTGAGTCAGAGTGGCCTCCAAGCCTTTCATGCGCGTCTGCTGCAGCGCGCTGTGCTCGCTGTGCCGATCCAGCTCGCACTGCAATTCCAGGATAACGACTTGTCGCTCAGCCGACGCATCCTCCAGGTGGCGCTGATGCTCTCGAAGCGAAGCCTCCTCCTGGCGCCCCGCCGCGCGCTCCTGAAGCATCAGCTCCCGCTCCCGCTCGAGCTCGTCGATACGGACCTTCTGCGACGCCAGCTCACGGACTTGCCTGGATGTGGCGTCCTCCAGCCCCCTCAGGCTGGCCTGCTGAGAGGCTTCGACCAGCAGCTGCCGCTCCAGCGCGCGCTCCGCGTCCGCGGCGCGCGCCTGCTCGGAGGCCTCCTGCAGGCGCTGCCGCTCCAGCGCACCCTGCAGGTCCCGGATGCACACCTGCTGGGAGGCCTCCCGCAGCCGCAGCTCCTCCAGGGCGCGCGCCTGGCCTGCCGCGCCCGCGCACTCGGCCTCCAGCCGCTGCTCGCGGGCGCCTGCCTCCAGCCCCGCGGCGCGGAGCTGGGACGCCAGCTCCAGGTGGGCGGCGCACTCGTGCCTCTCGGCCCCCACCTCCTGGCTCAGCGCTGCGCTCTCCCGCCGCAGCGCGCGGATGCAGTCCGCCTTCTCGCCGGCCTCGCAGCGGAGCTGGTCGTGCAGCTCCCGGGTGCGCTCCATGGCGCCCACCGCGCTCCGGAGGCTGGCCTCGAGCTCGCCGACGTGGCGCCGGTAGTCCTGCTCGCGCTGCCGCAGCTCCTCGCGGGCCGCGGACAGGCGGCGCTCCATCTCGCTCCTCATGTCCTGCGCCGCCTGGGCCTCCTCCGCTCGCGCCTCGCCGAGCACGCGCGAGCCGCTGTCCTCCGCGCGCCGCAGCGCCTCCATCAGCTCCTCCGCCCGTGCCTCCTGGCCGCCGTGCAGCTGCGCGTCGCCCTGCTGGGCCCTGCCCCGCAGGGCCTGGACCTGCAGCTCGAACTCCCGGCACAGCATGGCGCCCTCGTCCCCCATCGCCGGCGTGGCCTCGAACTGCCGCTGGGCGGCCTCCAGGTTCCTGCAGGTGGCCCTGATCTCCTGGCAGGTGGCCTCGAGGTCCCTCTCCTGCTGCTCGTGCCCCTGCATCCTCGTGCGGAGGTCGTCGTTCTCGCCGAGCAGGGTGGCGGCGCGCGCCATGCTCTGGCCCACCTGCGCCTCCAGCCGCTGGCACCGCTGCTGGTCCTCGCGCTGCTGCGCCGCCTGCTCCTCTTCCAGCAGGTTCAGGCTTCTTTCCAGCGCGCCGATCGACCACTCGGCCTCCGACTCCTGGCGCTCCACGCGGAGCTGGCAGGCCATGCGCTCTTGCCCGCACTCCTCGCGCGCCTCCCAGACCTCCTGCCGAAGTGAGTCGGCCGCACGGCCCGCCGAGCCGCGCAACTCCTGGACCTCGAGCCTGAGCTGCTCCGCCTCCCGACAGGCTGCCAGGGAGGTGGACTCGACCCTTGCCAGGGCCGCCTCCTCTTGCAGCTGCCCCTGGCGCCTGACCTGCAGGGAGCCCTCCAGGTCCGCCAGCCTCTGCTGCTGCAGCTCCATGGCCGCCTCCATGGCCGTCGTCCTCTCCAGGGCCCCGAGCTCCAGCCTGGTGCGATCAGAGAGCTGCTGCTCGACCCTTGCCAGGGCCGCCTCCTCTTGCAGCTGCCCCTGGCGCCTGACCTGCAGGGAGCCCTCCAGGTCCGCCAGCCTCTGCTGCTGCAACTCCATGGCCGCCTCCATGGCCGTCGCCCTCTCCAGGGCCCCGAGCTCCAGCCTGGTGCAATCAGAGAGCTGCTGCTCGACCCTTGCCAGGGCCGCCTCCTCTTGCAGCTGCCCCTGGCGCCTGACCTGCAGGGAGCCCTCCAGGTCCGCCAGCCTCTGCTGCTGCAGCTCCATGGCCGCCTCCATGGCCGTCGCCCTCTCCAGGGCCCCGAGCTCCAGCCTGGTGCGATCAGAGAGCTGCTGCTCGACCCTTGCCAGGGCCGCCTCGTCTTGCAGCTGCCCCTGGCGCCTGACCTGCAGGGAGCCCTCCAGGTCCGCCAGCCTCTGCTGCTGCAACTCCATGGCCGCCTCCATGGCCGTCGCCCTCTCCAGGGCCCCGAGCTCCAGCCTGGTGCGATCAGCGAGCTGCTGCTCGACCTCCGCGAGCGTGCCCCGCTCCCCCACCTCAGGGGAGGCCAAACGTGCTGGTCCAGAAGAGACACATCCTGGAGAGGGGGCCTCATCGTGGCCGCTGCGACGTTCCGGGGGTACGCCGAGGCCGAGGCACGCTTTCTGGCCAGCGGCCGCCGCCTGCCAGCCGCCGCCGCCCGCTGGTCTTCACCGCCAACGTGGCCGCCGCCGCCGCCGTCGTCGTCGTCGTCGCCGCCGCCGCCGCCGCCATCGTCGTCGTCGTCGTCGGCGTCGTCGTCGTGGTGGTCGTCCCGGGAGTACGTTTGGCCCCTCTCCGGCCCACCGGCTCCCGCTCCGGGCCCTCGGGCACGCCAGGCAGCTGACCCTGTGACCTTAGCATGGGGGAAGCGGGTCCTGAGGCAAACGGGTCCTGGACCCTGGGGCCTTCCCCCAGGCCGAGATTTGCATCATGACCCGTTTACTGACAATCCCGGGACCCCTGGAGGGCCCCGGGAGCCCGGCAACGGCGAAAAAACTGCGGGACCCGGTTCCCTCAGGACCCCTTTCCCCCGTGGCGAATGACCGCAGCGCGGAGAAGGGCGCGGCCGGCAACGGCGCCGGCAGCAAGAGCGCGCCAGAGGCCTCGTCGGCGGCGGGCTCCGTGGGGCCGCCCCGGGCGCACGGCCTCGGCAGGCTCCTCCTTCGAGCTTGGAGCGGTTGGCTGGGGTGCGATGACGCGGCCACCCATCCTCCTGTGCTTGCTAGTGGGGGAGATTGGCTACTAAGGGGAACCCCTACTGGCGTGGGCGCACGTCCAGCATCACAGCGGGCGCGCGCCCTACGGGCGGCACAAAGACAGTCCCAAATTGGTCCGGAGAGTACAATAGCAGGCAGCAGATCCTAGAGGCTAGATGTGAGCGATGGCATAGACCTGTACCCCCTACGGCTCCACCGCGACCGCCTTTTCCTCATAAGTAGTTCTCCCTGTCGCACCCCGAGGCGTGCCGGTAGGGCAGGCCTTGGTGTTTCGCCTGAGATTGTTTCACCATATATGATTTTGTAAGCTGGAAAGTTGACAGTGGTTCACGGATGGAGGGCGGGCCCTTTTCAAAATGTGGTTCTCCCCTGAGCGCCGCGCACCTCCGTCTTCACAAAGTGAAGCAGCTTCACGGATGGAGGGCGGGCCGTTTTCACAAAATGGCTCTCGCCTAAGCGCCGCGCGCGTTCGTCTTATAACTTCGCCAAAGGGTCACGGATGGAGGGCGGGCTGGTGTCAAAATGTGGCTCTCGCCCTGGCGCCGCGCACACCCGTCTTACAAATTCACAAAAAGAACTTCACGGATGGAGGGCGGTTCCTTTTCAGAGTGTGGCTCTCGCCTTAGCGCAGCGCACACTCGTCTTACACATTCGCAAGAGCGTCGCGGATGGAGGGCGGCTCCTTTTCAAAATGTGGCTCTCGCCTTAGCGCCGCGCATATTCGCCTTACATCGTCTTACACATCTGCAAAAGTTTCACGCATTGAGGTGGCTCCTTTTGCCCAACCATCCTGTGGTGTTGGGTTTTTGTTTTGAAGAGATAGCGCCCCGCGTTCCTTCTCCTCCTCTCCTCCTCCTCCGCCATCATCTCTTCTCCCATCATCCCTCCTCTGCCCTCTGCCTCTGCACACCCCGCACACGTTGCGTGGCCCCCAAAGGAGCTCCAGCGCAGTCCCCCATGGTTAAGTTCGCATGCGCCCCACCGCACCCATTTCGGCACACCCCACACACCTTCCGTGGCCCCACAGGGAGCTCCACCGAAGGCCCCAACGGTTGCGCTCGCATGGCACCACAGCACCAATTTCGGCACACCCCTCATACGCTTCGCGGCAACATAAGGCGCTCCACCGACGGCCCCAGTAGCTGCAATCGCATGGCCACACCATCGCACCCACGTCGGCACATCCCTCACACGCTTCGTGGCCACATAGAGAGCTCCACCTAAGGCCCCAGTGGCTGCGATCGCATGGCACCAACGTGCCCATGCTGGCACACCCCTCACACGATTCGTGGACCCGTAGGGGGCTCCACCGAGGGCTCCAGTGGCTGCGTTCGCATAGCACCACCGCGCTGACCCACTTCGGCACATCCCTCATACGCTTCGTGGCCCCATGAGGAGCTCCACCGAGGGCCCCAGTAGCTGCAATCGCATGACACCACCGCCCCGATTTCGGCACACTACTCACACGTGTTGTGGCACTCAAGGCTCCACCGAAGGCCTCTCTGACTGCTTTCGCTTGGCACCTCCGCGCATTGTTCGGCACACCCCTTAAACGCATCGTGGCCCCATGGAAAGCTCCGACCAGGGCCCCACTGGCTGCGATCGCATGGCACCACCGCACCCATTTCGGCACACATCTTACACGCTTCGTGACCCCATCTGAAGCTTCACCGAAGGCTCCAGTGGCTGCGCTCGCGTGGCGACGCCGCACCCATTTCGGCACACCGCTCACACGCTTCGTGGCCCCATGAGGAGCTCCAACGAAGGCCTCAATGGCTGCGTTCGCATGGCACCACTGCGCCGATTTCGGCACATCCCGCCGTGGCCCCATGGGAAGCTACACCGAAGGCCCCAGTGGCTGCGATCGAGTGGCACCACCGCGCCCATTTCGGCACACTCCTCAAACGCTTCGTGGCCCCAAAGGGCTCCACCGACGGCCCCTGTGGCCGCATTCGCGTGGCACCACCGCGCACAGTTCGGCACATCCCACATACGTTTCGTGGCCCCACAGGGAGCTCCACCGGGGGCCACACTGGCTGCGCTCGCATGGCACCACCGCACCCATGTCGGCACATTCCTCATACGTTTCGTGGACACACAAGGAGCTCCACCGAGTGCTCCAGCGGATGTGCTCGCATGACCCCACCGCACAGATTCCAGCACGCCCCTCATACGCTTCGTGGCCCCATAGGAAACTTCATCGAGGGTCCCGGTGGTTGCGCTCGCACGGCCTTCCCGCCAACATTCTGGCACACCCCGCACGCCTTTCGTGGCCCCAGAGGGGGGCTCCACCGTGGCGTCACGGCACCTATGTCGGCAAATCCCTCACACGTTTCGTGGCACCAAGCGGAGCGCCACTGAAACCAGTACCCATAAAGCGGTATCTGCAAATTCTATATGGTCGGGCCCTACACCAGGATAATTTAAATGTGGTTCTTGCCGTCGCTCCGCGCACATTCGCCGTAAGAGTTGACAACAGCTTCAAAGCTTCTCATGGCTGACGTCCCAGAAACAATGTTTTGGCACGATGTCGGACTGTCAGAACGCAACGGTTACGTTGAGCCGCGGTGTTCAAGTTTCAGGAATGGTGTTCTGGCACGCTTCATGATCGCCAAGACGCACCAGTAACAGCGACTCGCGGCACTGAAGTCCCAGAAATGGTGTCCTGGTGCAGTTCAGGATTTTCGAAAGGTCGCCTTCCAACGGGGCACTTCCCTCAGTGAACATGAATCCTTGTCGGGGCCTGTAACGAGGGAACTTGGAGGGAGGAGGCATATGAAGAGGGAACTTGGAGGGAGGATCTCTGGTAATATCGTTCATGAATCTTGGGTTTGCAACGGTATCCCTCGTCCGTGGAAGAGGACAAAAACTACATAAACATAAACTTTTGGCGCTCCGCGCGGATTTCCTGATCTGCGCTGGGCCCCCTCCCTGGCGCGCGGAGGGCGCCAGGGGCGGTGCCGGAGGCGCCACCAGGGGGGTTCCCGGCGCGGATGCAAGAAATCCGCGCGGGTCGCCAAAAGTTTCTGTTTGTGGCGCCTGTTCTTCTGCGTATCCTTCCTCCTCCTCCTCCTCCTCCTCCTCCTCCTCCTCCTCCTTCTCCTCGTTCTCCTCCTGCTGCTCCTCGTCCTCCCTCCTCCCCGGGCTGGACGGCTTCCCCCGGGCCATCGGCGACCCAGGGAGGGGAGGGCGAGGAGGATGAGGAGGAGAAGGAGGGAGGAGGAGGAGGAGGAGGAGGAGGAGGAGGAGGAGGGGAGGA